AAAAGATACCCCCAAACGTGCTCCCGGAGAGCAGGGACGTATCACAAGAATGTGGTTTCGGGAACACACGTCGCGTTCTGTAACAAGGGGGGCGTGCAGAGAAGCGGGGGAATCTAGGTTTGAGAGCTCAAATCGTAAAGGCGATGGCGCAGACGAGCGAAGGGAAGGCATAGCGGAAATTTCAGTGAAGTGCGGGTGTCAAAAAGGGGGAGTAGAAGGACACCAAGAGGAACTAACGGAGGTCGTCGCTCGGCTCCAGAGGGGTAACAGACGGTTTTACAAGCACTTGTGGACGCGAACGTCCACACTTGAGAGGGGGGCCATGTAGCATATCTCCCTCCCGGAATTAGATTTAGATTGGATTTATAACTGTAGAGCACGAGCTCTACAGTACCTCAGTGCACGCGCACACGTGTACCCCACGTGTACGGGGGCGCTTGCACACACATGTACGCCACGTGTACTGCCAGCCCCGACGGCTGACAGCACTACAGTGCAGGCCCACCTGCACTACTGTAATGTTATGATAGGTGACTCTGTATATTAAATATGGGCGGACCGCCGGCGGTGGAGGACGACAAGGACGGACTTGTCAAGTATCCTCCACCTTGGTCCGCCCGCTTACTCTCACGTACTTCTGTCCGTTTTATCTACGAGTAGCACCGCGCGCGGGTTGAGGACGCGCGCAGCACGCCCACTAGCCGGCTCCGCCTCCGCCCGTCGGTACCGGATCGTCACCCAGTACCTCTCCGTGGCGTCGAGGCGTAGAACCGCTCGCGCGTGCGTGCGTCCTTCCCGATCCCGATCTACCACCGCTACCTCGAGCCCGTGCTCGGTACCGTGGGTGGGCCGTGCTTCTATCTTCCCGCCGATCAGGGTCTTTCCAAACTGTCGGTACTCACCGACCTCGTCGTTGGGGGTGATTATACTACACTGAAGAGGACATATCTCGAAACAATCCCAAACGAATGAATACCAACAGTTACTAGGCGATCTGCGATAAATTGCCGATTCCACATGACTAGACATATATTTTGTCCTAAACCGCCTGTCAGTCGCAGCCAAAACCTTAACAACGCGACATCGGAACGTCCTCAAGCGCTTCCTCAGGTACCTCCGCCACACCCCCAATCAAGGGCTGCTATTCCCAACTGCCCGCATCCCGCTCCACCCCAGCAGCAACACCGAGAAACGCATCTTCAACACCCCCTCTTAACGTCTGACTCGGACGCTGACTACGCTGCCGACGTCACCGACCGAAAATCGATATCGGGCATTGTACATCTCTACAATGGTACAACTATGTACTGAGGATCCATGAAGCAACGCATCACGGCGCTCTCAACGTGCGAATCCGAGTATATTGCCGCCACATCTGCCGTCTAACAAACCGCCTGGCTGCGGCGATTCGTCCGTGACATCCACATGCTCAGCCCACATCCCACTCCCTTCTTCATGGATCATCAATCCGCCTCCCCCAAAACACCGGAGCCACCAAGTGACGAAAATTTATTGACCTTCGTCACCACTTTTTGTCACACCACGCTCACAAGATCACACAGATATGAAGCACGTCCCCAGCGAGGACATACTTGCGGACATACTCACGAAACCCTTAAGGTCTGAGCCGTTCCGCAAACTCACGGAAATGCTGAAAATAATTGCCGCACCGGAAACACCCCTGGCCCCACACAGAACAATCACACAGTGACGGGGGAAGTGTCATGATTCCCATGTCTGTTTTCTGTCGCTGTACGGTCGTTATGCGCTCCAAGTCATTATCCCTGCCATGATTCTCATGCACAGCTCACAAACCTGTGACACGCACACACGTATCACAGATAGCAGCTGCCCAGGCTGCCCCGCCGTCCCGGCGCCGCACCCTCCTTAGCAGATCCCGGATTGACAGACTCAGTAAACTGGAACATCGTTCTTTGCACCACAGGCGAACTTGTCAGAAGGTTGTGTCCTTTATTCAAAGATACTGTACCCCTCCGCCTTTTCCCCATTCTTTCGATCTTCCCCGGGGATATATAATGCGGGGGAGGGGCGGGGGCGGGGGGGGGGGGGGGGGGGGGGGGGGGGGGTGCCCGTGTTTTCGGACAGTGACAAAAAATCAGACATGCAAAATATTTTGGAAAAACTTCTTCGACAGGGGCCAAGGTGGACCGCTGCTGCGTAACGGCGGCACACAGTGCGCCGTATCTCAGAACAACGTTGTTGAAATTAAAGAAAAATATCTCAATCGATTGTTCACAGCCTTCTACCTAGAGGAGTGTAGCATCCCGAGCACACAAAACGGGCGGCTTTTCGCCATTTTTTAAATTTGCTTGGATGTCCGATCTGCTGTGCTCGGTTGTGCTCGGTTGGGGTGCAGCAGTGTCCGCGCGCTTCAATCTCACTCCTCTTCTGTGTGCGTGGTTGTTTTCATAAAGTCCCAGTGCACGACAGGTTGAGAGTGTCCCCGTCGCAATAGATAAAAAATGGTGATTGCTTGACAATTACAAGTACTTTTTCCTTTTAACATTGAGGTTTTTGTCCGATATCCTGAGCACCCCCCTTTACTGTACGACATCTATCTTTATGCGGACAGGCTGCTCGGTCCCTCATCACTCCTTTGACCAATCAGAACGCTTGGCCCCACATTCCAGCAATGTTTCAATTAATAATCTCCACCTACGGGGGAAATTATAAAAGTTCATATGTTCAGGCACGGCAACCACGGCAGCGGGTGTGGGAGCGGAGGGGACGGGGAAGGCGTCGATGGCGGAGGGCAGAAGGGCGTAAGTGGCGGCGGCGAGGCAGCGAGATGCGTGGAGCTGGGAGGGCCCGCTGCGCGGCAAGTAGGGGGCGTGCGGTGGCGAAATGGGCGTCCGGGAGGGTGATGGCGGGCGGGGTGGAGGACAGGCACAAAAAGAGATAAAGCGTCATTTTGCCCTACTGTTTGATCATATTTTCGGCAGCCGGCCTCCCAATACTGAAGAAATCGTGAATTCGCCTCCCTATGAAAAGAGCGCCTTGTCGCCCCCATACTGGCAACATTTAGCTAAAGATAAAAGGAATCCTTGCTCGTTGTTGACAACAAGCACATCAAGTCTTGAGAATCACTGTACAGGATGACTAATCACATCACAGACACGTGAGGTAGAAAAAGCGACCGTCAAATATGCACATGACACTGATGCCTCAAAAGAGCTTGTAAAGCCATGCCAGTACAGTACAATATGCGCACGAAAAGGCAGTACTGTACCGTACAAATGTTTTGCACGTGCAAATTGTTTCCTGGTACAGTACCTTCAACACTACCGTGTACAGTATTGCACATCCACACAACTGGGTCTCCGTTGCCGTACGGTACAATTTACTCATGCATTTTTCGACAACTGGATCTATGTGCACTTTTATGCGTACTGATCCAACGCAGGAAACTGACCCCATTCAAAAGTGCTAGCCTAGCCAAGCAATATCGAGCGCTGTCGAGGAATACCAGAAAAGAGGACTTCTTTCACAACTCCACTTCTCCAAGGGTCTTGGACACGACGCCTACATTGCATAACCAGAAACAGGGACGCGTTTATCGTGTATCGTTCTTCTTATTCAAAAAACAAACTTCGTTGACAAGCCTTCCTCCTTCCCTCCACATCATGTCCCTGGAATTCATACTGCCCTTTAGCACGCCAATTTGGAACGTGACCCGACTCATTGGTTTGGCTATTTTTGTCGATATGCTCCTTGCTGTGGCGCTACAAAAAGCTTCATCAAGGATTAATGGTTTCATGGCACGAAAAGGAAGACGAGTGGCATTGGGTACGACGCGAGCTGGTAGGCTGACTCAACTACCCGGAATAGACCAAAACGGGACATGGATACGTCTATGCTTCTGGGGGGCAGCAGTGACCCTGTTTGGCCTAGCCATTATGGCAGAATTCGGGAGCGTCGAAAGGGATGTAGAACTGGACACTGAAGTAGAGCTGGGAAGCATATTCGAGGCTGCAAAGGGGAAACTTCTATCTGTGAATTTACATGCCGAAGACGAAGATCCGAATAAAGGTGGTGGTATTAGGCTGTTTGGTCAAGTGTTTGAGGTGACGGGCTCGTCACTGAGAAATCCGTCTATAGATCACGAAGCGCCACTCATCGAATCGGGAAACAAAAGTTGTCCATCAGGTGAAGGACGTCTCCTTGGCGGTTTCTCGACAATGAGCTTGATAGACCGCGTGCTTGTCATGGCCACGGAAACAGGTATAGAATTCGAGAGGAGAACGCCATCATCAATTTCTACGATTGAGAAAGTAGTCGCCGCAGTACCCTTTAACTGGTCTCTCTGTGACAATGAAGAAATCAAACGACAATTAGGGCAATTGGAAAACCATACCGAGGTCCACAAATTCCTTTCTGTCCTTTCTGACATGGCACTTGGAGCAGGATGGAACTCTGCGGTAGGACTAAACAAGACGGGAAGAAAAGTAATAGGGGAAATTCCCGTACGGGTTGGGAGCGGCTATAATGGTGGCTTGCGCCCAGGTAGATTCGTTCTTCGGGGCTGGGCAGATATTCAACATTTGATCTTTCGTTCGCTGGCCGGTTCCGAAAATGTTTGGGTGGACTTTGAACCGGACCTCCTACGCCTAGCTCCTCAGGGAGCTGGACTGCAGATGGAGCGGTTGCCGGTTCGGCAGAGCAGAGTAGAAAACACGGAGATCGAATTTGGTTTGCCTGATGAAGAATTACAGTTCAAGAGCGTGGAATGGCATGGTAGCGTATCAGTCACTGCCGGATCCATTTCTGAACTCGTGCATGTGTACACCACTGATCGGGGAGAATGCGCCATGGGTCACGTCGTGTGTTCGTGTCGACTGACTTATGAGAACGAAACATATCAAGTTATCCAAGGATGGGCATTCGGAGTTCAAGAAACTGAATTTCGTATGATTCAGAGGGTAAACTTGACACGATTTGCTCGCGAATTTTTGGAAGAAGCAAAAGACACGATGGTCTACATGTCTCTCTACAGGACTTTACCGGTTAAGAGCCTACGAGCTAGTGGATCGCGGCCTCAAATTTTCTCATTGGATGCTGCTGACGATGCATCAAGTGTCAAGAGTTTCCCAGTGCTCCCCCTAGACAAAAGCTTGTCTCCGAAGATCGGGATGGGATACGGGGTGCGGAAGACAGCACGAGCGGCGATAAATGTGTGGTTCATTGCCTCTGCCGCCGGCTACGCCATGCTTTTGATGTTTTTCCTTTTAGTTTGTCTCTTTCTTAGAAACGAACTAGACATCGACGTCGTCACTTCGTTGGTGCGCACACAGAACGAGCTCCTCCAAGCGCCCATAGATTGCAAGGTGGCAAGCCGACGCCCTCTGGATATCGGAATATTTCAGCCAGAATGGTCGAACGGGGAACTCCACCTAGGAACACTTAGAGAAAATGACAAGCCTGTCCAAGCACCTGACTTAAGCTTGGTTCACTCGATGCCACGCCTAAGGAGGGGGCAATCTAAGTCTGTTTATACCGTCTAGTTCCGCCATCTTCATCTCAATGCGTCTTGTAAATGTATGTGATTGCTGCACGTGGTGTGGTAAGTATGGCGGTTCCCCTTGCATCGAAGATACGAAAACGTGCCCCGTGGCAGCACAAGCGCAACAACGGCTGGCCATTCAGCACCGCATTAGATCACTGTTCAACTTTCGTGTTTTGGACAACACCGGACTTGAACAACTGACCACTACTTATTTCATGAGAGCGGGGAAGGCGCTACTGCAGCAAACAGTATTATGGTCAGACCATAACTGAACAAACCTGTTGGAAAATTGAACTTGGGGCTTTTTGTATCGCCCAAAGGTGCTGATGGGAGTGCCAAATAATTTACCAGGTGGGTCAGACGTCAAGAAATAATTATTACTGTCCTGAACGCTTACGAAATAATTACGCAACGCTTCCCCATCTGCTTCACAAGTTCGTCTACAAAACATGGAAGTGGTAGTAGTATAAATGCGCGAGTAGCCACGATAAATAAAAGGGCAAGGAAGGATAGCCCCACTTTCTTCAACAGGTGCTACATGAATTGGCCCTTGGCACAAAAACCGTGCTAGCAATTCGAAAGCATTGCTGGACCATGTGAAGGCATGGTTGTTTCATGGATCATCGGCGCTCCAAACCCGCTCCCTTCCTCGGCACGTTTCGCCGCGCACCACAAGTGTCGCGACGCGCTCCTCGCCGTCTGCAGCGCTTCTCCCTCAATCCAGTACGCTGGCACAACTGCGCGTCTCACGCGGCCTCGCGCGGGCCGTGGGCCACTCGCGCACGGGCAAGAAGGTGGCCGCCGTGAAGGGGGCTGCGGCGCGCGGGGCCCTCACTGAAGGCCACTCTACCGACGAGGTGGGCATTGGGCACAGAGCTGCACGAGCCCAGGAGCATGACCGGCGCGGCACGGTGCGGCGGAGGGTGAGTACACCTCGTCCGTGGCGCCGGCGAGCGGGCCGGTGGAAATTGTGAAACATTTCCAAGTCGGCGCGCGAGGGAGACTGCGACATCGACTCGAGACAAAGTCAGTGGCAGGATGTCGTGGAGGCGCGGCTACGCGACGCGGGGAGCTGCTAACGCCGCAGCACCAGGAGTTTTTGGGGACGGAGGGGCTGTGGTTGGGGCTGGACTTTGCTTGCTCTGGCATGCTCAAGCTCAGGGCAAAGGCGGGGCGCACGAACGCGCTCGACCGGGTGTACCTGTTCGGAGCGGAGGGCGAGCTGGTGATAGAGTGGGTGGCGACCTAGCGTTTGCCAACATGGACGTTGTCGTGGGAAGTGACGGTGGCGCAGATACCGCGCGGGGGTCCGGCTGGCGATGGATGTAATCCAGGTGCTTGACGGAAATGAGGTACGCCCGGTGAAGGACGTCGGGAGGTCGCGTTTAGCATGATTGCTTAGCACAAACAGTTCAGCAGCTCGTACCGATTTCGGGTATTATGCACAGCAAGTCTACCCCAAACTTGTACCACATGGACGTATCGCAGAGAGGGAGTCTGGGGGGCTGACTGGGTTTACCTCCTGGGGCGGAGTAAGGACGGGTGGCGACTCTTGAGGCGGGGCCAGGTCGTCAAGAGGAGGGCGGTGCGTGGCCGCGAGAGGCTACACGAACGAAGGAAGACTGTGCTAGCGGATGTCATTGGAGGCAGCATCTGTAGCGGCGGCGTCAACAGTGGCAGCCAGAGCAGAATCGGCGAGCTGGGCAGTGCCGGTAGCGAAGTAGGTAGCGGGGGCGCGTTGTGTAGAATATCACCCGCAACTCTCCGCCAACTTCCCCCCTTCATTAGGTCCGAACGGCGAGCTACCGAAGAAACTCATCTGCACGTTCGCCAAAACAGAACCTTCCCACCATGGCAGTGGTAAGCGTTCGCGCCAACAAGACATGTATTGCAAACCATCAGCACCCTCACGCCGCTGTCTACGCCCCCTATCGCCGCCGCCAACCACGAAAACAACAGAAACAGCCTCCTCACACCAACTGTACCCACGTCCGATGCGCCCGCTCCCGCCCGGCGTAGCCTCTTCCGTCGCCACCGCGCCACACGTCCCCGCAAACGAGCTCGCCACTCTCTCCCTCTCCGACGCCCCCTCATCCCCACTGCCCCAATCCGTTCCGCCCCGGGGATGCACGCCGCCGCAATATCGGACGCACGCCACCTCCGGCTTCCAAAACTCTCTGGCCTGGCCGTCGCTCTCTGTCTTGCCGCGACCGATCCCCCGCCAAAGCCCCCAGTCGAGCCTGCCGCTGAATTTGCACCGCCCTATCCCGCTCCGAGCGCCGCGAGCGCGAGCGCATGCTGCGCGAGCACATTCTCAAATTCCATGCATCCCGCCCTTGCCGCCCACACCTTCCGAAGTGTCCAGCTTCGACGGTTGGCGCCATGACGACGACGCGTACTGGCCGGACTTCCGCGGAAGAGAGGTCACGTTTCGCACCAAGTCGTGCCACAAACAGGAAGACCTCGAGCCCCCGACGCAGCCGCTGGATGGCCACGGGAAGGCCGTGACGTGTGCGGCCGCTGTGCAGGATGACCATGACAGGGAAATGTGGGTGCCGACGTCCGAGGAAGAGGAAATGAGGTTGAGAAGCCCCACTCCTGAGAGTGATCCTTCTTTTTGTAAGGGAGGCGTAAGGGAGGCGGTCGAGGGGGAGATGCATACCACGCTTGTACCGACGGAAACGCAGGTGGATGCGGGGGAGGAGAAGGATGTGAACAAATAACGCGTTCATTTTGAAGGAGAGCCGATTAAATTTGATTAGAATAATACTAAAGGCAAAAAGCGGATCTTCGTTACACTATTTGTGTGCGATCAATTACTATCACGCATACTATTTCATCTAAGACGCAAATTAGTGTCACGCGGAAGTTGGCATCACATACGCTAATTGATGTGGATGTTGACTCGGACACTGAAATAGTATACGTGACACTATTTGCGATAACTGGGTGGTGTCTAGGCGAGAAGTGACCTCATATGAGGCTACTTTTCAACTTATGTTTTCTCGACTTGCGCTTGCTCAACAAGAAGAGAAAATAGTGCCTCGCCACTGCAGTTGACTTCTGCGTTACGGAATGATGGAGTTTGGTGAGATATGCACGCCCTTTCCAGCCATTTTAGAATGCCGGAAAAAGACGCTTTTTTTGCCCAGCCTCAAGACGTTGTGTGTTGTTATCTTCAAACCCAAAACGCCTGTTTAAAATGTCATCCAGATATTCACCGCACCCTTGAGCATAAAAACGTCAGCAGCAAAACAATTCTCGAAAGCGACGGTCGTTATGAGCGGCGGCCTCTGGAGCTGTCCATACAGTGCAGCGACCACTTCTGTTGTATGCGAGGTTCAATACTCTGTAATGTGTGCAGTGCTTCCGTATCACTCTGTTCTACGGCCTGGCGAAGCCATCCGATCAGTGATTTAGAAAAATTGTAAGCCATCGCCATCTGGCCTATTTTGCGTTTTGTCTCAACATTGCAACAGCTGTGTGTCGTTTGACCTTAGCTTTTTCATCGTGACGCTCTCTCTTCAAACGGAGCTGCTTGGCGTCTCATAGAGGGTGGCATTTTCGAGATTGCGTCCCCTTCGAGCATCATCGTGTTGCCGTTTAAGATCCGCCCATGAAGTTCTTTACCCAAAATGGTTCGTCAATGGAAATGGCGCGACTTTCTCGTTTGTTCGTGGACATAGTAATCATAGACGATTCATCTAATATCGTGTGCTGTTTAGTGGATGTATGCCGCTTGCGTATGCAAAGGGAGTTGTTCCTACAACTCATCCCAAATTAAGCCTTTTCCCAAATTAAGCCCTCGGGGAAGAGTACACACTAGCCTGTCTCAGCGCAAACTCACCGGAACATCCCTCCTGCCTACTTTCCCTGCCCGTCCTCTCGCGAGACCGCATCTCCCGCTACTGCGCACGCCACGCGCGGGTACTACCAGCAACTAACCCTCTGTTTTTCTCCGCGCGCGCACACCTGGATGTCATAGATGCGAGCAGGCCCTTGCTCTGCGCTGGCAAAGGGGTGGTGTGAGCGGTTTCCGTACAAACTTATATAGTAAAATTAGCGTGGATGACTTCACGACCTTTTTGGAGACGGGCCGCGGGCGCTTCGAGAGGCCCTCTGCCGTGAAAAAGGCGTGGAAGATGAGAGGCGGGTAGTGGGGGAGATCAACCGCCACTACCTTGGCATCCGACTCATCCACCCCACGCGCGTTCTCCCTTCACTCTCTTCTTTCATCACACCGACGCTTTCACCACACAACAGCCAGAACTGAAAGACCAGTTGTGGGGTACAGGGGGGGGGGGAGGGGGGGGGGGGGCGCGAAACAGCGGCACCCCGGGGCAGGGGGGCGAAAAAGGGGC